AGAATTAACAAAAACAGTAAGGAGAGAATCCAAGTTAGTTAAATTAAGCTCATTGTCTTTCCAAGGTCGACCGAATGCTTAGAAAGCATCGAAGCCAAGTGTCTGAATCGCTAATAAATCTGAAGCCACGTATAATGCTCTCTCTAGAAACCAGAGTGGAGTTAGGGCATTGTAGTTGGCATCATTCTTCGAAAGATTGTCTTTGTCTCCTTCTCTCGCCATTGACAAATTTCTCTCTCTCTTTCTCATCAAACAAAATCGCCGTTGCCGCTGCAACTTCCTCCACCCCCTTCCCCTCTTCATTCTCCCTCTCCACCTCCCCTGTATATAATCCCATCTCAAATCTGTCACAGCTAAAGCTTCCCTCTGTATAAATTATAGACCTCCGTTCTTCTTTCTTCGGGGACAAACTCCACCTGGTTACAGTCATCCTCAGGACTCTGGCTATTGATTGGTATTTTTTTTTCTATTTAATTTTACTTGAAAAATCTACTTGGTTGCGGTCGTCTTCTTTATTTATAAGATATCAAAGCAAGAAACTTTCAACAGTTATGTGAAATATACCCACTGATGAGGGCAGATTTGGCCCTCCGCTAACATCATGACACGTGGCATCTCAAAAAAAGCTAGACAATACCTTGACACCACGAGAGCGATGAGTTGCCTTAGCCAAAATGACAGAGACCTAGCTGCCGACCTACTAGAGACCCAACTAGCGACCTACCTGCGCTGACCTGATGGAGTCCTAGCTGGGGACCTCATACACAACTTGGGCACCTCAGTAGGGTGGCAAGGAGAACCTTGTCCAAGGCCGACCTATGGTATCTCATTGTTATCGGTCCAAGGGACCTCGGCGCGAGGAGCGACCTCTCTTGAAGACTTGCCAACCTGTGGTACCTTGTCAGTACTAGTCAAAGTGACCATGGCATGAGGAGCAACCTCCCTCAAGGACTTGTAAACTCAACAGAGGTCCAGGTGGTGACCTACGAAACATGCTCACCGACCTCCTCCGTGTGTGCATCCCGTCACTCCCCGGTCTTTCGGAAGTCAGCTCCCACACCGACCTTCAAAGACTTCGGACCAGCCAACCACATCTTCCCAAAAATCTTGAACGCGGTGCATGAAGCCTACACCAAACAATGACTATATAAAAGTCTCATTTCCAACCTCAAAAGATAGACGCAACTTAGCTCTCGCAGCTCTCTAGCATTTTAGCTCTCTATAAAATCTCCACATCGCTGACTTAAGCATGGAGTGCCCACCTCGAGTAAAGCAACACAGGCACTCAGACACTGTCTCTTTGTAGGTCAACCCGACAAACTAGCCAACTCGGCATCTGAGTCACCTTCCAGCAGGGACCTCGCCAGCTTCACATCCGAGTCGCCCTCCAGCGTGGAGCTTCCAGATTGTGCATTATCAATTGACGTCATATGTGGGAAATGCTACACAAAAGATAAGTTCTCACCCATTCTCTAAGCCTCATGTAATGGCATTCTCAAGAAACAATAGCAATGCCTAGATTGAAGGAACTCCACCTGGGGGCAGAATCAAAATGATAAACCCAAACAAGTTCAAATAGTCTCGCCCTAATTGTGAGGCCACCCCCAAAGGCCGAGCCCTCCATGGTTCCCGCGAGAGTGGGCGGCCAATGGACTGTGCAGTCACCCTTGCGGGTCGAGCCTTCCAAGGCTCCCATGCGAGTTAGTGACCTACGGTTAGCCATCCCATAGATTGAGCTCCCTGTGGCTTATCATAGGAGAAAATGACCAACGTATCCGAGGGCTGACGTAGTGTAGTCATGGCACCGACCCATCATTTAAATGCCAACAACAACACACGTATCAACGCTGCTATCACAAGAGGGGCAGAATCTAAACGACCAGCCTGGACGAGCCTCATCATCTCTATTTGCAAGGTTGCCTCTACAGGTCGAGCAATTCGCGGCTCCCGTGGAGTTGGCGGGCAACGGATTGTGCAGTCACCCTTGCGGTTCGAGCCTTCCAAGACTCCCACACAAGTTGGTGACCTACAGTTAGCTGCCCCCGCAGGTTGAGCTCCTTGTGGCTTATTGTAGGAGAAGACAGCTAGCGTCACCAAGGGCTGACACAATGTAGCCGTGGCACCAACCCACCATTCAAACGCCAACAACAATGCACGTATGAATGATGCTATCACAAGGGGGCAGAAACTAGATGACCAGCCTGGGCAAGCATCAGTACTCTGCCCCAAATTGTCTCCCTACAGAGCCTCACTATTGATCGAGCCCTCCATGGCTCCCGTGAGAGTTGGCAACTAGCTGAATGTGGAACCGACCTCATAGGTCGTGTCTTTCATGGCTCCCGTGAGGGTAGGCAACCCACAGATAGTAGAAACACCCCCTCAAGGTGAGCCTCCCATGGCTCTAGTAGGAGTGGGCGACCAGCAGTTCCAGGAGCAGATGCAATACATGTGCAGCATTGACCCGCGAATGCAGACCCGAAAGAGTTAATCCCACGTGATGACATAGATGCAATCATGTTTAAAGCTACTACACTTAAATCGATATCAAAGGACGTCACTATCTCACCACCGACCTGGAAAAAATAAAATAAACAAAAATAAACGGAGGAAAGGAAGACTAGTTCGCTTTCAGCACCGTGTCAGACATGCAAACTTGGCCAAACTTCTTCACAGTCAACCTCCACCTCAGTTTCAGGCTCCGCATCGACCTCGTCGGCTACTCCTTCGAGGATTGGCTTGAGGGACATTGTGTTGAAGTCTACGTATGTGGAGCGACCTGACAAGGTAGTCATGCAGTTTGAATCCCCTCTTGAGGATGGCATGACGAACTTCGCGCTTGAGGTATCTGGCCGAATTGTAGAACTCCTTATCCTCGAGGTGCCTACTCCGCCTCTCCTCGAGTGGATAAGTTTGCTCCTGTGCCCCGATAATCAAAACGGTGAAGTCCTATGTAATGCTGCACTCAACCCTTAGACTCTTCCGACTTGAAGAGCAAATTGGACCGACGCCTACGAGCTCATCATACTAGTCATTCCATGCCAAAGGACCTATAGCAAGCTACTCCCTTCGCCGAACTGACCTTGACTCAGGAGTGGGGGCAATTGATGAGGGCATATTTGGTCCTCCACTAACATCATGACACGTGGCATCTCATAACAGCTAGATGACACCTCGACACCACGAGGGCAATGACTTGCCTTAGCCAAAATGATGGAGACCTAGCTGCCGACCTACTAGAAACCCAGTTGGCGACCTACCTTCGCCAACTTGATGGACTCCTAGCTGGGGACCTCATACACGACTCAGGCACCTCGGCAAGGTGGCTAGGAGCACCTCGTCCAAGTCCGACTTGTGGTACTTTGTTGTTACCGGTCCAAGGGACCTCGGAGCGAGGAGCAATCTCCCTTGAGGACTTGTGGTACCTTGTCAATACCGATCCAAGTGACCTTGACGTGAGGAGCAACCTCCCTCGAAGATTTGTCGACTCGAATGAGGTCTAGGTGGCGACCTACGAGACGTGCTCATTGACCTCCTCCGTGTGTGCATCTCATCACTCCCGAGTCTTCCGAAAGTCAACTCCCACGCTGAATATTTCGGAGGAAACCGAATAAGGCACGAAGCCTAGTCTACATGCGCCACTACCTCCAAGGACTTTGGACCATTTAGATACATCTTCTCAAAGATCTCGGACACTGTGTGTGAAGCCCACGCCAAACAACGCCTATATAGAGGTATCATTTCAAACCTCAAAAGAGATGCGTAACTTAGCTCTCGTAGCTCTCTAGCTCTCTAGAATTTTCTCTCTCTCCAAAATCTCCACATCGTTGACTTAGCATCGGAGTGCCTGTCCCAGGTAAAGCAGCCCGGGCACTCTGACATTGTCTCTTTACAGGTCGACCCGGCGAACTAGCCAACTCAATATTTGAGTCACCTCCAAGGACCTCGCTAGCTTGGCATCCAAATTGCCCTCGAATGGAGAGCTACCAGATCTCGCATCATCACCAACCGTTAGATCAAATCAATACAAGCATAAAACTCGGAGCCTTTTTAGAAAAAATGATTTTCCCATTTGGGTTCTCAAGGTTTTGCACGGAGACGTGATATTTCAGTGTACTCAAAGAGTTCTCTGTTCTGTGAACAAAACCATTGGAGATATCGGTTTTTGTCATCATGGATTTCTGACTATCGGGATCCAGCAGTGCCAACATTAGAGGTGGGGTGACTGGACTTGGGCGATAAAGATCAGGCCAAGGAAGATGAAGTGAAAAGAAGGATAAAACGGACATTTCAGCCCTTTCCTCAATATTTTAAGGGCAATGGTAATTTTTTTGAAACAATAAAGTAACGTTAATCAAACGGTATGAATATACTTAGTTAAGATAATTTAAGAAATTTATCAAAAAAAAAAAAAAGAAATTGCACATGTTATCAACTTGTCACATAGGTACTTTTGTCATTGGAATTTGGAACGGACCTTGCCCTGACCGAATCCGGACTCAATTTTATGACATCTAAATGGGATCATACCTTAGACACAATCAGATCAAATCCGGGTCAAGATCATCTTATCTAACCCGTGACAGCCATAGTTGTGATTTCAAGCAGTAAGTGCATGATTGAAACCATGTCCGGCCATGGAAGGGGTGGCCCACCTAAACGAGCGGTGAAACAGACGGATCAGGATGTATGGCGGGTGAACAACCTTGGGTCCCACGAACACATTTCGAAAGGTTAGAATACTTCAATTCAAATAGTCCCAGTAGGAGACAAAAGGAGCAAAAAATGCTGTGTTGCGCATTTGATTCCTGAATACCTCTGCAAGTCTCTGAAGCATCAATTCATCTCATTTCCCGCCAATCCGAAGTGGGCCTTCCTCCAAAATGAAATTGGTACCTTACCCACATCCCCATCACAATCAGATTCTCTCTCCCTCTTTCTCTAGTCTTCACTCTTTAGATTCTACAGCTAGAATGAATACCCAAACCCAGCAAAACAACAAGTGTTGAAACTGTTACTTCGACTAAATATTGAAAAAATTTCTAAGACGAGGAAGAATCTTAAAAAGAAAACATACACAAGCTCCCGGTGGATGGTAGAATAGAATATACCCCCACTTCAATTAAGAAGGAAAAAGATAAATATCAAATTCAAATAAATTAAGAAAGAAAAGCCATATACTATACATACATAATATTAGAAAGGCTACAAGAAATTTGTTGGTTGTTGGTGTTGGTGATGATGCTGTTTTCCCTGCTTCCTGGATTCAATCACCGTTCGTTCATGGGAATCACACACTTGGGTTTTGAATTTGCATCCCAACTTTTTCGTTAGCGAGTTCCTCCAACCCCCAGACCCAGACCCGGATCCGGACCCAGAAGCTCCCTGTGGCCCCACCTTATCGATCTTGGCTATGGCCTTCTTCATGGTGGAGCATTCCCTCTCCAGCTCGTGCACCCGAGATCTCATAGTGTCCATGTCCAGCCGCAACACCTGATTCTCTCGAATAGCCGTCCTCCACGTGTTACTGCTCTCTCCGCCAGGTGCCGCCAAGGCAAGTTGCAGCTGTTGCCAGTGTTGTTGCTGCTGCTGTCGTTGCTCCTCCTCCTCCTCCTCCTCCTCCTCCTCCTCCTCTTCTTCTTCTTCTTCTTCTTCTTCTTCTTCTACCTCTTCTTGTTGATGCTGTAAGACGGAGGATCCCGCTCCGGCGGAATCCGGCGGGATGATGTCAGCGGTAAGTATAGAGCCGGCAATGGCGTTACGGAGCTGCAGCTGCTCGAAGAATAGGAACTGCACCACCGCCCTTAAGGGGAGGCGCTCGTTCTGTGCTGCGTGGGTGCAGGCCTCTAACGTCAGCTTCTGGGAATCCATCACACCGCAGATTTTATCTCGCTCTTCCTCCGTTATCCATGGATGCGCCTGCGGTAATTATAAAATTAATTAATAATCCTAATTACCCAGCAACATAATTCAGTTAAATCTTAAATGGATGACAATTTTTGCTCCGATATTTGCATTCCTCATTATTGGATTCCAAATTCCGACCCAAAGATGGTTAGGCCAGAGAATGGAAAAAGAAAGAAAGAAAGCCGTGGAAGTTCGCGACAGTAGGGATAAGGGAAATTGAAAAGGACCAAACATGAAGTTTTCCCTTTATTTTTTCCCGTACAACGGACCAACTCCAGAAAGAATGAGACCCAGGTAAAACTCGAGTTTACTCCGAGAAAACGCATTCTTTTTGTCTCTTGAGTATCTACTATATTCAAGTTTCACAGGGACATTTTGGACAAAACGGAATTCAAGCTCGGAAGAGAAAAACAAGGCTCGAGTCAGTTGACAGACCCTATTCCCGTCACCGGTTCACCAATCTCCCGGCCCACACGCCCACACAGCGTTTCTGAATGCTTTGAACCGTACCTGGATCGACGGACTACCTTGACTAAAACACCCCTAAATTCACGTAATAATGATCCAATTATCCTTTTTATGTTTTATGGTTGAGCGAAAATAGTAAAATTAGAGAAAAATCGAAATAGATGGCTAAAAATATGGGCCCACCAATAGTACCTTGAGGTAAACATCAACGGCTCTGTAGAGGCCGTCGTCGTAGAGTCTGGCGTGATCGGGAAGTGCGACCGCCAGTTCCCAAAACTTTTCCGGCTTCAAATTGGCGTCGGAAGCAATCTCTGACAGATAACCATCGATCAATTTTCCGACCAACATCACCGGATTCACTCCGGACGATCTAGCACCGTCTACTCCATTGTCACCGTGGCCATCCACTCCAATCTCCGGTCTCTCTTCTAGACCCTCCAAGAAATACCCCAAAATCCTACCCACGCAATCGACGTCGTAAAGTGTCTCTATCAGATATGAGTAGCTCGGGATCAAGAGATCGTCCAGCGTCGCCTGCTCCAGCTGTGACGCTATCTTCCTCTCCAAAGCAGCTCGACAATCGTCTGAGGCGTTTAATATATTCGCCGCCCTTAATAACCCAAACAGAAACCTCGTCATTGTAGATGAAGATGATCCCGAGCGTGACCTCGAGCTCCTTTCTTGGGGCAGATTCGTAATTATCGTCTCCAGAAGCTCTCTCTGCTCCGCCTCAGAAGCAATGGATGCCGAGGATGGTTTCCTATTGGAACGCGACAGACCTGGAATTGATTTCTTTGCGTAGGATAGCAGAGAGCTCTCGATGATTTCCGAGTTTATATCTCGAGCTTTCATAGCAGAAATCACTTGCATGTACACCGGCAAGCTCAAAATGCATAGATCTTCGAACCAGGGTTCGGCATTGCTGGCGGCGGTGTTCTTGCTCTTACTCTTTCGGCGTGTCCCGGTATCAATTCCATTCAATATGTTCTGATTCGAAGACCTAGTCGAGCCTGTGCTGGCTCCCTCATTCACCGACCATCTCGCCACGATCGAATCGATGCATCTCTGAGGAATGCTTAGCTCCTCTGCCAGTGGTATCAATGCTTCACACGATTTTAGGGTCCTCACGGATTCTTTGATGTTCCTGAGAACCAATTGAGAGAGGAACCTCTCGGTCTTGGAGATTAAGTTATCTTCTGAGAAGTCCTCGGTCATCATCAGATACTCTCCTGCGCAACGAAGAGGAGCCACATTCCAAGACGTGAGATCGATCTTGACGCCGTAACAGAATTTTACGGCGGTCTCAAATGTCTCAGAACCGCCCGGAAAATCCGGGAGGGATATGTAGCAGGGTTCCTCTTCAATCTCAACGTCAACTTCGGCATCATTTCCTTCGAGTTCTTCTCGACTTCTAGCAACGTTGGCTTCTTGTTCGGTTATCATCAGATGAAGCTTTCTACTTTTCGCCATAAGAGGGAACTGAACAAACACATTAAATAACAATTTCAGTCCTGAGGAGTGAGGAGAAATAAACTAAAGGAAGTACGAAGAGGTGAAAACAGCATGGACAGAGGACCTTATGGAGGTGGAAAGTCATGTCGTCTGCTTCGATCACAATGTCGCTAGGTAACCCCGTAGTACAAAACCTGCAAAAATGCGAACGATAAAATCCTCTCAGATTCTTCTTTTCTTGAGCAGAGAAGACAAACAGAAAACAGAGTAGGAATCCCAAAAATAAATTGCATTAACTCACCATGCCTGGCCTTTGGAGCTCGAGTTTTCCATATCAGCGGAAAGTAAGAGGAAAGAATACGAGCTTTCTAAAAGTTTTTCTTTAGAATAAGAAGATTGAACCAAGAAAGGTACCCCTATGCACTACAGCAAAATAACTCCATAAAATTACTGGAAAGGGGAAAAATCTTAGAAGCGGTTAACCCTAAAAAGAGACTGCATCGGAGGTTTCTGGGAGAAGCCCAAAAACCCCTCTTGACCAAGTAGATCACTCACTCAGACAATCAAACCAACAATAGATGAACAAGATGCAGAAGGGAAAACCGAAAATCTTCTCCAAGTAACGATCCCTGTGATTTAAAGCAAGGATACTGCTCCAGTAAGCAAGTGGAAATCGACTTAACTGAATCTTCTTTTGCTTTTGAGCATAAAACAAAAAAAGAAAAAGGGAAGAACTCAAGAGAGAAAGAAATGGTTCGCGGCTTCTGCGGTGAGAGAAGCCAGTAAGCAGTAACGAACATGAAAAAGAAAGAAAAAAAAAAAAAAGAAAATAATTGAGAGTGAGGGAGGGCGAAAAGAGGAAACTTTATTTAGAATACAGAAGGGATTCCAGAGGCAGATGGGCAGATGGGACAAATGGAGTTTGAACGAATTACTATACGTTAAAAATGAATTAAAAAAAGAAACAGAGAAATTCAGAAATAATTTTCAGGATTTTTTTCTTTTTTTTTTTATGTAAACCCAGAAGTCCTGACACCAGAACCAGAAACTCACTCACCGTCTTTCACTTTGTACGGAAATGGAACAAAGATCTAAATCGTCAACGAAGAAAAAGAAAGAAAAGAAGGATGTCGTCGAAAGAGTCTTAACGGCGTCCCTCCAGCTCCTCTGCTGCAGTAGAGGTGTAAAGTGGGCGCCGGCCCGGCCCGTGGGCGGGCCGTGCTGCCCTCGTCGGTGAAAATTTTGGGGGTTTACTTGGCACGGCCCACGGCCCAGCCCCTGTAGGCTCGTGCCTTGTTGCGGATCGGACTGACCTGTGGGCCGAGCCTTGGGTCAAATCAGGTCGTGCATCAAATCAAAGCTATTTATTTAAAAAAAAATGATAAAAAATTTAAAATTTTAATTTTATACAAATTTTATGTATATAATTGCTTATATATGTACAATAATTAAATAAATTAGTATAATAAAATTTTTTTATTTTATTAATATATTATATACTATATATTATTATATAATTATAATTTATATAATATTATATAAAATATGTATAAAGTATATATGGGTTGTGTCGAGCCGTACTGGGCCGAGCTGTGGGTCGTTTCGTGCCGACTCATGGGCTGCAGGCAGCACGGCCCGCTTGGTCGTGTCGTGCCCTGCCAACCAATGGACCTAAAACCCTAGGCCCAGCATGGCCCGCATGATCGTGCCAGGCTTGGCACGGCATGCGGACCATCGTACTAGGCCATACCGAGCCAGTCCAAGTTCATGCCAGGCCACAAGCAGCACGACCCGATTTACACCTCTATGCTGCACTGCTTATGCTACGTTTGGGAGTAATATGTAAAAATAAGTCTTTTAAGTGCTTATTTTCTTTTCTAGCCTGTGTTGAACTACCACATAATTTAAAAAATACTTAGTAGGTGTCCGGGATTGGCATCGTTTCCTCATAAAATGGTGCCACATCAGAAATCCATTTTTCTAAATGATTTTTATTTGGCTCGGACCACATGGTATGGTTCAAGAAAACTTTCTTTTTAGTAGGGGTGTTCATGGGTCGGGTTGGGTTGGTTTGAGTAATTTTTTTCAATCGATCCGACTTAATCGATTTACTTATTGACTAAACTGAAACTGACCGACCTTGAAGCAAAACCAACCCAAACATGAAGGGTCAGGTCAGTTTATCGGTTTAGTCGGTTTATATATATAAAACTAAAATATCTATTTATATTTAATTTTATTTCTTTTTATTTTTTATGCAAAATCAAAATATATATTTAAATCGATTAGTTTTCTATCCAAAATTGATTTTTTGTCAATATATAAATTTAAATTTATATAAAATTGAATTAAATGTTGTGCCATTGTATTATATTTGTATTGGTTGTACTTTTTTAGTTTTTATCATAAATAACCAATTTTTTTCAAAGTTCAAACAAAGACAAATAAGATATATAACATATAGGGTAAGGACTAATTAATAATTACTTAAACAGTTAAACATATAGGATCAGTTCAATTTGATTGAACCGAGTTATCGGTTTATTTTTTTATGCAAACCGAAACCGACCAATGGTTTTAAAAAATTGACCAAATCAGATTGAATCGAATCGGTTTGACATTTAATGTGAACATCCCTACTTTTTAAATACTTTTCTGTTTTTTTCTATTATTGCTTGCAACACTGTGCTGAGGGGTTGAAAAACCTTATTGGCAGCAACATCTCCATCTTGAATTATGAGATATGTGCTGCAAATTCATGGCCGATAGAGTGTAAGAAGTGCAGCACCATTTTGCTACAAATATGCCTCGCAAAAAGCGGCATCGATCTCAAACACCACCTTATATTTTTAAGCAATTATTTTTTTAATTAAGCACTTATTTTGAAGATTTTTTTTTTGTTTGATCGCTAAAACACAACAATATTAATTAATGTATTTAAACTAAACTAATGCACCTCCCTTGATCATAATTTATTTCCTTATCAAAAAGCAAAAACAGGGGGGGGGGGGTCCAAGACTCCAACCAGTGTTGCCAAAAGTAATTCAACAGGAACATTAAAAATATTATAAATCGGGCTTCGTGAAATGAACTAAATTCATCAACTTGGGTTAAAGAAAAGAAACAACTCAAAAATCAAGGCAACGATGGCCTTACGATACTTGTCTAGGTTAGATAGCTAAGAGCAGAGCTTCTACAGTACGTTTTCTTTTCTTTTTTTGTTTTCCTTTTCTTTCTCTCCTCCCAATTGAACGTCCCTTCTTCACTGCTGAGTGCTAAGTGCTGAGTGCTGATGATCATCTTCTTCTCTTCTCTACCATCGGCATAAATGCGTTGAGTCAGTAGTCAGGTGACTGAGGTCCGGAATTTGAGTGATTGAGGGCCAACCTTCCTGTAATTACGACAGCAAGCCTATGCTTACTCTGACTGATCGTTTTTCTGTTTCGGGTAAGTATGTTCCCAATTCAGCTGTTTCTTTCTTCGATAAGCTTATTCTGATTCAGCAGTTAACGCAAATTTCAGGCCATTTCGTGGACTACACATCAAGAAAACTCAAGCATGTTAAATAAACGGCGTTTCAGTGTATGGCATTAAAAATACAGAGAGAATAAAAAAAAAAAGAAAAGAAAAAAGGGAATACGACAAACAGGTGAGATAACCCATGTCTCTGTTTTCTTACCCTTTTTCTTAATTTCCAGTTGAATGAAAAAGGAAGGGTCGTTTATTACAACACCCCTATAGTTTCACATTTTTACTAAAATATATCTTATAATTTACATTTTACTAAAACTTTTTTTATAATTTCCAATCAATTTATTTAATCGACCTTCTATTAATTTTTTTATAATTTCCAATCAATTTATTTAATCGACCTTCTATTAATAATCTTTTATATTGCTGTGTGAAAATGATAACTTGACCATCTATACTTTGTGAAAAATGTTAAGGGTATGGGTCTATGTTATTTTATTCTGAAATTACCCCTAATATATCATATTGAACTTTTAAAATGAACACACAATGTTTGATTTTTTCTAGAATTAAGAAGAGAGAACAGCATGCCAAGCTATTAGTTAATGGACAAATTTCTTAAACTACTCTTATGGTTTAGCTAATTAACTAACTCTACCCTTATTGTTTACAAATTGTTTTAGAGTATTTCTGACAATTGTCTTAGACTACCCTTATCGTTAATTTTTTGTCCATGTGATGTCACGTGATTGATATATTTTAAAAATTTCCTAAAATACCCTCTCGTCTAAGTCCACTCCATCTCCATCTCCTTTCCCTCTCCCCTATCGGAATCTACCTTGTTCTTGAAGAAACGGAACCCTAACTTAGGTGGTCCTCTTTGAAACCCTCCACCAAATTTGGGCGAAAATGCGTACATGGCTCAAAGACATGCCTTAATCTCAACATAATGATGGTTAGTGAAATCAAATCATGGTTGAGTCGAAAAATACATGCCAATGTCGTTGTCGTTCGGGTGGCCATGGTTCAGCTAGAAAATACTACAATCTGGTAGGTCTTCTATATATCTATATCTATATCTATCTATATCTATCTATCTATCTATCTATCAGTCGAAAAATAAATCATTCATTCGACCAACTCTTTTATGGTATCAGAGCCCAGGCTATCAAACCTTCACCGACCATGTCTTCCTCTATCAATTCTCGGTCGGCCTCTAGTCTCAATTCCAAAATAGCAATTCAACAACCTCAGGCCCTATTAATCTTTGCTCCAATGTCACCCAATTGATATCAGTCAAACTGGATCGCCACAACTACCTACTATGGCAATCTCAGATCTACCCTGTACTATATGGGCATGAGCTACTCAGTTACATTGATGGCTCATATCCATGCCTAGCTAGACTTTTTACCAACAACATCATCATCTACAATTCCAATTGAAAACCCAAACTACAAAACATAGCGGATCCAAGATCAGCTTCTCCTAAGCTGGCTCCTTTTATCTCTCACAGAGCATGTGCTAGCCCAAGTTGTGGGCTGCACTACTTTCAGACAAGTGTGCTCAATGCTCAAGACTCTATATGCTCCGGAATCAAAGGCTCGCATCATGCACCTTCGATTCAAACTCAATGACCTAAAGAAAGGAGCAATGACTATGGGTGATTATCTTCTGAAGATCAAGAATATCTCAGATGCACTGGTTGCGGCTGGAGAACCCCTATTCGGATCCGATCTCATATATCAAACACTGGAGGAATTGCCAAGTGACTTTGAGCACTTCACTACTACTGTACTTACTAGGCTTGATTGTCTCTCATATGATGAAATGCAAAGCCTACTACTCCAACAAGAAATCAAAATGCTGAGAGCATGCAAGAAGCTTACAGACTTCAGCCTTGATGCTTTAGCCCACCTTACTTCCAAGGGATGGACATTCAAGAACAATAATCAGCCTGGCCGACCACCTTTCAGCGATAAAGACAGTGAGTACATAGACAAATCACCTAACAAGAGCACTAGAAGATACAAAGGGAGCCCATGCCAGATCTGTAATCATCCTAATCACTCAGTTCTCACCTGTAAGAGTTGCTTTGATGCCTCCATCAAGTATACACCACGGAAACCTTCAGCCTATATGGCAACCTCACCTCCCTCAACAGATCACTCATGGTATCTTAATTCTGGTGCTACTCACCAAGTCACTAATGATCTGAACAATCTGAAACTTCACAATACAGGACCTGAACAACTGCAAATAGGTAATGGTACAAGTTTGAAAATACATCATATTGGCACCACTTCTCTCTCAAGTTCTAATAAAAATCTAGTTCTACATGACAATCTTCATGTGTCAGATATCACTAATAATTTTCTCTCTGTTGCACGCTTCACATCTGATAATGATGTGTTTCTTGAATTCCACCCTTCTCATGTGCTTGTAAAGGATCGGAAGTCGAAGAAGGTTCTTCTTCAAGGCAGTCTTGATCATGGGGTCTACAGATTCAGTCATGATGAACTGCTTCCCTAGGCATAAATTGGTGAAAAGGCAGCTCTTAGCACTTGGCATCATAGGTTGGGCCACCCCAACAATAGCATCATGAAACACATCATTAAGAACAGTAATCTTCCAATTGCATTCAATAAAATGCCTCTCTTCTGTTCTGCTTGTCAGCTTGGAAAGGGGCACCACCTACCTTTTGTTCCTAGTTCATTTCAGGTCTCAATCCCATTAGACATTGTTTATTCAGATTTATGGGGACCAGCCCCGGTAATTTCTCATTCTGGCTATCACTATTATGTAAGTTTCATTGACTCCTTTAGTAGATTTACATGAATATTTCCAATAGTTCATAAGAGTGATGTACCTTCAGTATTTATTGTGTTTCTCAATCAAGTTGAGCGTTTACTCAGCCGCAAACTTAAAGTCTTACAAACCAATGAAGGGACTGGATACAAATGCCTAAAACCATTCTTTGACACGCATGGAATCGTCCATCGCACCTCTTTCCCACACACTCCTGGATAAAACGGATCTACTGAATGCAAACACAGACAAATTGTTGAAATAGGATTGACTTTATTGGCTCATGCATATGTTCCCAAAACATATTGGTACGAAGCATTTCACATGTCAATTCATCTAATCAATTGAATGTCAACAAAAGTTCTTCATCTTTAATCCCCACTGGAACGCCTCTTCTAGCGGAAGCCAGATTTTCTCTCACTCAAGACTTTCGGGTGTGAGTGTTTTTCCTACACCCGACCTTACACTTCTCATAAACTTAAGTTCAGAAGCACTCCCTGCATTTTCCTTGGCTACTGTGACAACTTCAAAGGATTCAAGTGCCTTCATATTCCCACCAGTAAAATTTACATTTCTCGGCATGTTGTTTTTAATGAAGAAAATTTTCCATTTGCACATGCTTCATCCCCTGCCCCACTCACTACACCACACTCACTGCCCCACTCTTTCATTGGACCACCACCTCTAGTGCCTTGTTCTATTCGACATGATAATTCATCTGAACCGCCACCATCTGAATCCTTACCTACCCCTCTTCATACAACTTCATCACATACTCCTTCACCTGCACATCTGACCCATCATCTTCCTCTCCCTCATCTACTTCTTCCCCTCCTAATCCCAAAACTCGATCCATTATTGACCTCCTTGCCACCACACAACCCCTTACCTCTCAAACCTCCGACCAACCTACACCACCCCCTCGTCGTCACCACATGGTAACCCGCTTTCAAGCCAACCATGTCTCTCCTCATCTTCATCTTACAACAAAATATCCATTGTCTCTCGATGACGCCGAACCCAGGTCAGTCTCTCAAGCCATGTGTCACCCTCGCTGGCTAGCTGCTATGCAGCATGAACTTGCTTCACTTCATGCCAATCAGCCCTGGACCCTATTCCCCTCTCCCCCTAATGTCAATCAAGTTGATTGAAAATTGATTTTTTGATTAAAATAGAAAGTCAATGGAACTATAGAAAGGTACAAAGCTCGTCTTGTAGCCAAAGGATGTATGCAACGAGAAGGTGTACACTTTACAGATACTTTCAGTCCAATATTGAAGTCAATCACTCTTTGGGTTGTACTTCATCTTGCTCTTACTAATGGGTGGTCCCTTCGCCAGTTAGATGTGAATACAACATTCCTGCACGGTGAACTACATGAAACAGTCTACATGACCCAACCGACGGTCTTCATTGATCCAACCAAACCCACACATATGTGTCGCCTACATAAAGCATTGTACGGGCTTAAACAAGCTCCAATGGCTTGGTATCATAAACTCTGTGGTTTTCTTCTACAATCTGGTTTCCATTGCTCAGTAGCTGATTCATCGTTATTTATCAAGCATTATTCTCATGGCATTCTCTTGGTGCTTGTTTATGTTGATGATATAATAATCACTGGCTCGCACTCTCTTGAGGTCACAAAGTTGATATCTGAATTGGGGAAGGCTTTCTCTATCAAGGACCTGGGCCCTTTGCACTATTTCCTTGGCATTGAGGTTACACACACTCAGTCAGCTCTTCATCTCTCTCAACGCAAGTACATAGTGGATCTTCTTCACAAGTCAAAAATTACTGACGCTAAGCCCATCAACACCCCCATGTCTGCTCCCTCCTCTTTATCCAAGAACTCCGGTGCTCCATTCTCCAATTCCTCTGATTACAAAAAACTTGTTGGAGCTCTCCAATATGCCACACTCACACGTCCAGAGATTGCATTCACTATCAACAAGCTCTGTCAATTTCTTCATCAGCCCACTGAAGAACACCTTGTTGTGCTGAAAAATGTTTTATGCTACCTCAAAGGAACCTTAGATTATGGGTTGGTGTTCCACAAATCCACTTCCTTGGAATTGCATGCTTACTCAAATGCCGATTGGGTTGGCTTGCCTAATGGCTGGTGACAACATTGGTGCAACCTATTTAACGACCAATCCTATGTTTCACGCACGGACAAAGCACATTGAGATAGACTTTCACTTCATTTATGAACAAATTTTTCGTCATCATGCTATGAGACAAGTTAAAAGTGAAGCCCTCACCTTCAACTTGCACAGGGATGTTAACCAACCAACCCGATAAGGATGATTAGTGTTTGAGTTTATCTCAAACACTAACTACTTGCTGTTGTTGTCAAGATAACATCATTATCTCTGTCTTTATCTTCTCTGTATCTTATCCCCTATAATCTGCAACTACTTTTGTCTTTCTTGATGTGTGTGTGTGTCTATATATATATATATATATATATCAGTTCAGTGAATAAATCATTCATTCGACCAACTCTTTTATGAACTCATTGTCATCGATCAGGAAGCTAGTTGATAACTGCATAGGACTCCAATGTTTTCTCATTTTCCATGTTGTTGGTGGTGGGATTGGCTCAGGTTTGGGATCCCTACTACTTGAAAGATTCTCAATTAATTATGGCAAGAAATCCAAGCTCAGCCACGGTATACCCATCCCCTCAAGTTTCAACCTTTGTTGTCAAACCTTGCTACTGCACCCACCATGGAATTCGAGATTAGGAAGAAACGGTTGCTCCTGGCCTTTGTAGATGAGGAAGAACCGGTCATCAAAATGCATTTGTGCTTGATGACCTCGCCCATGCATCCAACCTTTGCGGTTCCAAGGAAGATAACAAGAGGGAGAAGGAAGAGGAGAGTTCAAGAAAAACACAAAATCTACTCTCGTTATAAAAAATTAATAAAACAAAAAACACCATTATTGCTTCTCATCACTTGTCGCTCTATATAAATCAGACCAATTTTCTTTGTTCCCGAATAAGATCAAAACCTAATTTCTATAGTTTTAGAGTTCTCTAAAGCAGAAAGAGAGAGAAAGTACAGAGTAATAATGGAGGGTAAGGAAGAAAGGTGTTCCACCGCCCAACCGTCGTTGGTACACACTCCCTCTCTCTCTCCCCTTTTTCTTCTTTTATTTTGAAAATTTGAAGGAGAATAATGCGTAAAATAGTCGTTTTTGTCTCTTTGTTATACGTTAATGGCAAAGAGGTTTTTGACAATTGCTAGAAAACTTAGGGATATTCTAAGACAATATGTAAAATTGTAAACATTAAGGGTAGAGTTAGTCAATTAGCTAAATCATAGGGGTAGTTTAAGAAACTTGCCCTTAGTTAATTTGCAACATCATGTCTTCCTTCTTCAAATAGAGAATAAAATGATCTTAAAGAATTGTTGCTCATGTTTTATTAGGGGCAAGAGTGGCATTTCTGTTTATATTTTCTGTAGATTGTATTGGTCCAAACAGTTCCTAACGTCAAAACTATCAGTTTCCACTTCAACCTAATGGAAGGTAGATTAAGTAAATCAATTTCAAACTATAGGGGTGTTCTAGTCAAACACAAACTACAGGGTAGGTTCTAATAAATCCATAAAACTACATGGGGTATGTTAGTAAATGACCCAAAAATTTTGTATAGAAATTATAAGTGTAAATTGGTGAAACCTCCCTGAAGTTTTGGACCTTTGCCAAAATCTCCCATGGTAATTGGTAATTGCAATCGCCTCCCTTTCTATACAGTTGTAAGTAAACCCTCTCTCATAGAATCCACTAACAACGGCATGAAAATGTCCAAAATGCCTATGAAGTTATTGTTGAGGTTGGTTTCGACGGATAACACAATACAAACTTTATAAACAACAAAAATGGCAATATTTGAAAGTCATCAATGAAATCAGGATCATCGGTTAAGCATCTTGAATGGGCGCAATGCCTATTAAAGAGCAATAACGGGTTAGAAGACCGAGGGTGATATCCCAGACTAACGACTCCAATGTTCACCCGTTCCTCAAGGCCAATGGGATCAAAGTAGAGCTGTAAAGCGGGTCGTGCTGGGCTGACACGGCATGGCCCACGCAAAGTGCAAATTGTGCCATGCAAGCCTGTGGGCCGTGCCTCCCTCCCCTGGGATATTTTAGGGGGTTGACCTGGCATGGCCCACGGCCCAAGCTCGTATGGGCCTGTGCCATGCCGTGGGTCTAGGCCGGGTGGCCTGCAGGTTGTGTCGTGGGCTTGGGCCTGGGCTAAACTAGGCCAAAAAGGCCCAAACTTTTTTTTTGTTTTTTTGAAATTTTGATTTTTACTTTTATTTTTTGCTAAGTAAAACTAAAATACTTAATTTTCCTTTGGAAACAAAATGAAAAAAATACTAACCAAAATATAAAATGGGTAACAAATTAGAAAAAAAATAGAAATTTTATTTCATTTAATATATAAAAATTACAAATTGAAAATAAAATTACATTGTTGAAAAAATAACAAATAATTTAAATAAAATTGAAAAAACTACTTCATCTCCTTGACTTCAATCATCTACTTCATCAAGTGTAGTAGTGTCATGCCCTCCTTTGTCTTGTAATTTATCCTCAGCATCCAGCAAATCTTTAAAGTAGATGTCTTTTTCATGTTTCTCATGGAAGAAAAAATGTGCCCAAGTGGCCAATACCACCCTTACTACTGAAGCTAAGGTCAATCTTATATTTTTGGCAAACAACTCTTTTTCCCTTCCCTTCAACCTCCTCTATTTAAAATACTTTCCAAATCGGGCTAGTGAACTTACTCTCAAGGAATTTGTTTCGGGAGGAGGAACCGGCCATTTTTTAATTCTAAAAAAGTAAAAATTAATTTAGTCACACTTACCTAGATGGTTGGATTACCGGTTCAAAATCTCAACTTGATTTCAACGGTTGAAACCTCAAAGGCTAAAGCCTCCTAAATTGCTAAATGTATAGCACTAACATCATGAGATGAGCGACTAAGAGAGTATGAGATAATGAGAATAAAAAATTGAGAAGAGAATTCAGAATTGCTGAATTGGTGTAATAAGAATGGTGGAGGATAGGGCTATTTATAGGAATTGAAAATAATTCAATTGCCCAAAATACCCTAAAAACTAGCCGCTTTTTAATTGTTGAGAGGGATATTTTGATCATTATAAAGTATTTATCACTTTATCCAAATGCCCCCAAAACCCCAAACTAGCTGTTATATTATAGGATATAGCTATTGGAGGGGCATTATTGCCTTTTTCCTCCCCCTAAAACTAAAATACATAAATACCCCCCAATTTATAGATCTACATCAAAGCACATGGCTAAGCTTACAGGACACCTGTTAAGGCATATTGACATATCTGGTAGACACAATAGGGTTATGGGCCCCAATTTTTTATCACTTGAGTTTGTGATGATGCCAGGTGGTCCTTCTGCTAGTGCCACTTGTACCCAGCTCAGCAGGATGTGTCTCCATCGGAGCTACACTTCGGTAGGGATGACATCATGATGAGGTGAGTTAATTGCTTTCAATGAGGTGTTTGGCCAAGATCTGTTCGACTTGAAGCGCCAAGCTTATTTTAGTCAATGCCACGTGTTGAGATATGATTGGTGGCATCATATCAAAAAGAGAGAATTTAAAATTACAACTTTACCTTTGAACGATTGATATGAAAGACAAATTTAGAAAAATATTTAATTATAAAAAATAGATTAAAAGGATTTAGAGTAACAATTCATATCAATAGAAAATTTAAAAAATAAACATTTTGCTCAAAAGTAATTACTTGGATAATTTGATTATTTTCATGACTCTTTTCAGAGGATTCTAAGAAAATTAGAGAGGGTCTACTTGCACTATATCAGAAAGTTAAAAGAAATGATCGAAATTACCAAACTTAAAAAAGGAGGGTTTCAAGCAATTTACCCAAAGTATAAACTAAGAGTGAAATTCCGAATCTCCTACACTGTTTTCTCTTTTTTTCTTTCTTGTACTTCATCGAGTTCATTAATTCTGTGATGGGTTTTCCTCGGAACAAATATAAACAAGTGGCAAAAGTATTATTAAATTAGACATGATGTGAAATTGCACTTAAAAACATGACCTTCCATGTTATTAACACCGAGAGAAGGCAGGGGGCAAGAGACGGTCAACAATCAACAATCAACATAAATATATAAATATTGACCATCATAAAACATCTAATGGAAATGGGGTTCCAAGAAAGACAAAAATTGGAACACAAGATCGCTGAGTTTTGAAACTTATTGGAGATGCAGACAGCAGTATCCCACCAACGAATGGCAATTGGTAATGTTTATTTGCTCCTTCATTCATCACACGGCACTTCACTCTCCATCGTTTTTTTTTTTTAAATTGGTACAGGCTATCCATCCAGTCATAATCAAGCTTTCGCTTTTACCAGCTGCTCCACCCAAGATAAGATTATTAGACTAATCATTCCATAACTAGCTAATTCCAAGAACAAGTTTTCTTGTCAGTTAATACACGGCATCTCTCTCTCTCTCTTCAAAATTCTTGTTCCTAAGAACTAGACTCACTAGAAAGCTGCCTACAACAGTGTACCATATATATCTACAGTCAAGACCTCACTCATGGATGAACCTTGTTGTAAGATGTAATGCATGATGGACCACCACCACCAACGCAACCAGGTCCAGTAGTAGTGTGTGACTGTTTGTGTGTAAGCGGTCATGGGCAAGGATTTTCTGGATATTAACGTCCTTGTTTCAACAGACTCTGGTCGGAGACCTTAGGTGGGCCATCTCCTTTATTTATTTGCACCCGTACGAACAACCCCATTTGGCCTATCACCTCTCGTACTGTCGTCGTATTGAACAATTTGAACGTTTGAACTTGCCCGTATCTCATCTGAGTTTGTTCATACTTGATAATTTAATTTAATACTCATCAATACTCAAAATCTCTAATGCCCCACACAATTCGTCATAACTCAGTAACGTACCACACCAGTCACCACCCATTACATCTTCTTTTACCGATGACCACAAAAGTCATAACGGCCCACGCGGTGGAATGAGCTGTGGACATGGACAGAGTACACAGTGAATGTGATTTTACGTAGTCATACAAGTGGCCCTTCACTCGATCATTCTGAAATTCTGAACCTCCCATCAATTGACACTCCACTTCGTCTGAACCTCTCTGTTGGCTTCCTCCTTTTACCATACACACCAGGCAGACGGTAAAAAGAGGCTAACCTTTACCAGAAAATCATTACCGGTTCTGATTTTTCTGAACTCCACCAAAGAGCAAAAAGCCACCAGATTATAATTCACAACACCTTGAAATGAAGAGGCTCGAATGAGCTTCAACTTTCAACTCATATATAACGCGGATGGGCGTAAATGGTAAACCCTTCTGTCAATCAATTTCAACAGAATTTCTGAATGAGTTTCATCCCTCTCCGTAATTACAGAATTTCTGAGTGTTGTTCAAGGAAATTGATTTGGACACAAAGGAGAACATCTCCTCAAATTGAACTCTTGATAGCTGTGGTGGAAATGGTGGATCATCAAATAAGTGATGGTTCTTTTGGATGTTTTAGGCTCTATTATATTAGGAGATTTAATCAAGTAATACACTCCACGGACATACTCAGGACTTCATTATGGACGGTGGTTTGATGATCCCCAGCCCTAGATTGATTAACGCCACAACAGAAAAAGTGGTGCTTGAGAAAACTGCCACTTACTTGGTACTGTTTTTTTAGAAAAAAACATTCCTTCAAACCACTCTAGAAAATTGTGAATGTGTGGTCTGAAAAAATGTCAAATTCAATGTTTTGTCAGAAAACAGCCCATTGCTGCCAACAGTGCAATGATGTAATATCAATGTAGCATTATCTTGTGCATTGGATAATATGACCAATGGGAAAAATGATTTTACAGCACTGGTACCAAACAAAACCAGTGATGTTTTCATCCTATATGGCAGCACGGCTTCCAAACAAAACCATTTTCTCAGACATGCCCAGCACCGTTTTCTGTGTTCTCACTTCCCAGCACTGATGCCAAACACCTAGTAGATCTTTAGGTTCTGTACTCAGCTTCTGCGTTTAATGCAGTATTGTTTCATACTTGCCAACATAAAAAACCTTTATTTAACATTATTTATCAAAAAAAAAAAACAACATTACGTGTAAGGAAAACAACATATTGGATCACATTAGATATTAATCCTACAAGTATTATATTTGAAGACCCAGTTAATTTAACGCTAAATCAAATAAAAATGGATAAAACAACCGATTCTTTTTTCAACAAATAACAGTAATTTCAATTATAAATGTGTTTTCTTTACTAAACAATGTAAAGACTAGAATTATCAAGAATACCAGCACGCTTGCATATTCTAACTACCAAAGGCAAAGTAGAACTTTGCATAATAAATCATCTAGACTAAAAATTGTTAAAAAGAAAACATTTTATCTATGAATAATAGGAACTACGCATAAATAATAAAATCTAAATTTAGCATGGGTATTGGTTATTTATTAGTCCGGTATCTAGTTGAAAAATGCTGAGATAGTGCCATACATGTAAGCACTAAACTTCTTATGGTCATGCATGATCTTCCACACTAGTTGGAACTAGGATGTGGACCCAGACAGGAACATTATAAGGTGGCATCAGGAGAATAAAGATGAATCATAGTTCCTTTTTCCTTTGTAGTCTGACAAAGTAAATAAACTACAAGGTAGACAAAACAAATCTTCCAAGAAACTTAACTCGAATAACAACATCCAAGATTCATCTATGAAAACACAGAACAATCATCTAGTACATAGTAGTGCTTACCATCATGGAAAGGATCCATATTTCAGTAACTCGAATAACAACATCCAAGATTCATCTATGAAAACACAGAACAATCATCTAGTACATAGTAGTGCTTACCATCATGGAAAGGATCCATATTTCAGACAAAATGAACATGTTTTGACTGGAAATACCAAGTTCCACTAAATTACATTAGGGGATATAGATGTGGACTGGAATCAAAAGTTGTCAAGAGACAGTGCTCTCATCTTTATCCCCTGACGAATCCAACGAGGCCTTCTTCATAGCGCTAGCTTCCACACTGCTTGAGTTCACCGATGCTCGCTTCACACCTCTTCCTACCACACCAAGATGTGTGACGCCCCCAACAGGTCCAGCACCATTTGTATGAGCGGTGGAAACAGTTGGAGAGTCAAAACCCCCACCGCTATTGGAAGTACCCAGCTGTGAAGAGCCCATCACAGCTGAACTCTTCAGACTACTTGTTGCCTTGGCAGAAGCCATTTTAAGGATTTCTGAGAACAGAGATGTTGGATTTGATGCTTGCTGCTGCAAATCCTCAAGCTGCAATAGCCAGATAACATCTCAAAAATAAGATTGAAAGGATTTAAATGAAATAATGAATAGAAATTTCATGACATCTAACTAGTAAATTAGAATAAAACTAACCTTTTTCTCCAGCTCACCAGAGAGTCCATTAAGTGTCTCGATCTCAGCTTCCTTATCTGAGACAAAAGAGTCAGAGTGGGAACCACTAGAAGAAAGTTGATCCATCTGATTCATGTCTGAAACCATTGTCATTTCTGTTCCCTTCAAGCTCTTCACTTCATCCATTAACCGCTCTACCCGAGCCTTACAAACCTTTATGGCCTTCTGGCAATATGGAATGGCTTCTTGAACCTTTGACCCAACTTCCAAACACAAGCATATCCTAAAATTTCTGTATATTAGTTAAGATTCAAGCAAAAGAACACCCTTTTTTGTCTATTATCACTGCATGTGTCTGGGGGGATTAAAACAGCACAGCAATCAATGGATACAATTCAGCAATTTGCCGGTTGTCCGGTTCAACCAGGCGCTCCAAAATTGACAGTGCTTTCAGATAGTCACTTATAGAAGTCTCAATGTCTTCTGCAGGATGGAAAAAAAGCACACACCAATACACTATGTCACTAAGCTATTTCCAATCACTCCTTACTGATTTAAGGGCAAAAGAGACAAATCTAAGAGCTTAAAAATCAAAAGAGGGGAATGTGCACCTCTCTCTAGAGAAACCTCCCCTAGAGCTGATAATATGTCCACTTTCTCCATTGTGTCACCCAGCTGCTTCTCAGCAATTGCCCTTGCAACATCTAGCATCTTCCATGCCAGATCCAAATCTGACTCATCTTCATCTGCTTCAGCCAGGTCCTCATCTTCACTTTCTGCATCATCTTCTCCCTGGTCTTTCTCAGTAGCACCTTTTCCCCCCAAAGAATCAATTAGCATTAGCATCAATGAGAAAGTTCACAATTTGAGAGTAGACAAACTTTATGCAATATGCAGAAGATGCTAGTGAGCCTCCCTACTTAACCCCACCTATTTCTGCCACATGGAGGAATCATGAGGCTGATCAAAACCATCTACCAGAAAAAATATTACTGGATCACCCAATCCAACTGTATACATCAACTCTATATCCAATTTTCTATTGGAGCATTGCCCAAATGATCAAAGCTGCTCAACCTGTTAGCATTTAGGTTGCGTTTGATGGGGCTTAAAATAAGTGCTTCTGGCACTTACTGTGTTTTAGAAAGCCAAAACCACCCCAAAAAGTACTTGGTATAAAAGCAGATCCAAAAAAGCCCATTAGAAAAAGCAGTCTGAGCAGCTTATTGCTTCTCGCTTCTTGCATTTTCAAGAAGAGCTTAATATGTTTTTCATCTCGCTCTTGCCCATTTATACTTTAAATACCAGAAGTAACCTTGGTCAATAAAAAACCCGCACCCCACTTTTTTTTTGTTATAATATTGAAGCAAAAGCTATTCCGACAATTCCACCTTATACATTTTTCATTTTCTAAATTTCTGTATTATTGAATCAAAAGCTTCCAGTTTTTGTGACATACCAAGCATGAATCCTCCATTTTTTTTCATTTTATTCAAGCAATTTATGGGCTTAAATTGGTCTTTATGTGTGTCTTTTAAGTCTATACATGGATGGTAAGATTGTCTTTATATTGACAAAAGGCCCATTTTGAACCAAGCAATGTTTTCAAATAAGCACTTTTTTCATTGGAAAAAGCAACTTACACCAAGTGCTTTTTAAGTGCTTTTTTAGAAGCGCTTATCAGAAAAGCACTTCTTAAAAAGCCCGTTCAGAGCCAAGAAGCCCCACCAAATGCAGCCTTAGGATGGAAATTACACATTAAAGAGTATTTTGAGAACTTGGCAAAGTAATTCAGTCTCAAACTTTTCAAATGAACAAAGAATTCAGACAGGAATTTGCAGGCTCCATTGGGCCAAAATTAATTTTCCATGTGGAAAATTCCTAGGTCACTAAAGGAAGTTAACTACATATCCAATGAGATCATACAGAAATAAAGCTGCAGAAAACAAGCTTTCTTTGACAACACCATCTTGCAACACAAGGTTATTTAACCAAGCACATTGCTTGGACAATGCCATCCTTGCAAACTCAGTATTTAAATTGAGGGGCTATTTGCAAATGAGATTATTGTAAAGTCAATCAACTAAAATAGGTTCTCTGCATACTTCCAGCGTGTGTATGTAATAACTGGTAAAACGTTTTTGGCCAATGCCTATTTTTAATAAAGTAACCATTTGTAAATTTCAATGATAGGCATAACATAGGTAATGTTTGCTTCATTGCTCAACACAAGGAAGCAAGCATTCTGCTAAAGTGAAAAAATTGATGGTCCTGGATTTGATGAATGGGGAGGCAACCGAGGACCTAGTGAAGCAGATAATGTTTCTTTTATACCTGTGAATGGCACAAGCAGCGACAATTCCACTAAAGGCAACAAAACAAAACAAACCTGGGCCCATTGATTTAAAAGGCACGCCTCAGGAGTGCCTAGGCACACAGGCAAGGCACATATTAGGGTATGTACCTCGATCAAGTCCTAGGCGCACCCCTATCAAAAGGCACATGCCTGGTGTGCCTAGGCGTGCGGCTTTTTAAAATTTTGTGCTTTTTGCTATTTTCTGAGCCTAACGCCTTTTTAAAATTCTGTGCTTTTTGCTATTCACCACTCCATTGGTAGGAGTTATTGTGAATGAGGTAAACAAGCTGAAGAGGTATGTCTGGTGGGTGGGTTTATCAACTTGGATCCTGAAGAGGTACATGTTCTGGGGTGGGCAAAAATGAAGTGGCAAGATATGCACGCTTCGATGAAGTTAGGAGACTGAATGGCTAGCTTATTCCTGTCCATGTTGAATAAAAAGATGCTTAAGCTGTTTTGGAAAAGGAATTAGTTTCCCCACCAAGATTGGATACTCAATGAGAAGAAACTTTGTTTGGGTCAATGTCTTTGCATTCGGTACACCCAAACCTTTAAAACAATCGGTAATGTGTGTGGTCGATTCAAAAAATTTTGATTATCAGACCAGAAAGAGGTGACAGTTACAATTCGGGAGAATATTATTCAATTCTGGGGACATCCAATCAATACCAGTCTAGATGGATTATTTTTTGCAGGTGAAAGATCAGAGTTACAAAACGCCAAGGAAATGGGAATCACAAGGCTAGTCGTGGAAGGAGACTCAAAGGTAGTCATTGGATGGCTGAAAAAAAAGGAGAAGGGCTGAAAATAATTTAGGAATTATTTCAGACAGTTCAGGTTTCTGTCAACACGGATGTATATTCAGGCATGCTATGTTAGAAGTTCTGCAAATGGTTTGGCAGATGGACTTGCTAAGCAAGGAGTACAGACATCATTTGTACTGGGCCCATTTTTAACTGGGTGATGGGTTGTATTGGGTTTTAGTTTTAACAACCTCTGGTCGTAATCTTTGTCCTTTTTAATTTTAATAAAATTTCTGTGTTGTTGATAAAAAAATGTTGGGAGATTATTTTTGCTTGTGTTCTTGTGGTTAGTAGCTTTCAAAGGACTGGTTGATTAATACAATTATACTTTACCTTTACTCAAAAACAGAAACTAGGAGATTCCTAGGTTTCTCCATTCTCATGGTTGAGCTCAGCCACCCACAGCCTTCAAAGACTTGGGAAAGTACAAACAAAAGCAAAACCTTCTCAATCGATCCATTCCTTTAAGTTTCAACATCCACCTCACTTGTCTAGAGGGAAACTTATCTCTAAATCTTCCCTACCAAACCCTGATGAAAACCAAATCTAATTCAGCCATCCCCCATATCTAAGGTTCTTTTTCATCCCACTTAAACAGTTTTCAAAAATATCCACTAAAAACCCTAATTCTCAAAAATATCTAATTTTAAGAACTCGTCGTTTTGTGCAAAACCTTCTCAAACCCCTTCCAAATCCAATCCCCTTCTTTATTTCACTTGTATAAACCTTCCTCTGAAACAGTTGGAAGAAATTCCATTCCAATCTTGAGATATTGATTTTTTTTTTCTCTATAAATTTCTGCATATTACAGGAATTTCAGCATTAAAATATTTTTCTAATCACTTCATACAGCCATATGAGCTAAATGAGAAAGTGAATTGGATGAACACTAGCCAACTTACCTGTCTACTATTTGTCAGTTTTCAAGGCTCCAGTCAGCGTTTGCAAAAGCTTAGAGAAGATGATGAGGGATTTCTTGTGGGAACCAGGGGAGGAAAAGAAAAATTGTAGGATAAGTTGGGAGGTTGTGTGTAGGAACAAAAAAGGAGGATTGAGCATTACTTGGGAAGTGGTTATGGAGATTGCCTATGGACAGGGACAAATTGTGGGCTAAGGTGATAGTGAGCATTCATGGGCTCTTGGACAATGGATGGGATGCTGGTCTACTGCCTAGGAAAACCTGGAAGACACCTTGGAAGGCTATCAGTGCAATTTTAACTACATTCATCCCCTACATCAGGTACAATCTTTGTAATGGTAATGGTATAAAATTTTGGGAACATATATGGATAGGCACCTCCCCCTAAGGATCAATTTCCTTCACTGCATGCCCTCTCAAGTCTTAAACATGAGCCAATTTCCAAAATCTGTGTTCAATCTTCTTCAAATAATGGGGTTAATTGGGATTTAGGTTTCTGAAGGGGTATCAGAGATGAGTTTCAGAGTGTAATTAACCTATTACAGCTGTTGGAGGGAGTTTTTCTTGATCCATCTGAACCAGATAGTCAAATCTGGACCTGTACAACCTCTGGCTCTTTTCTTGTGCTTCTTTCCTCAAAACTTTGTTACAGCCCTTCCCTAGTATTCTGCCTTTTTTTCCTGTGAAAGAGGAATGGTGCAGAACTCTCCCACCAAGGATTGCAGCTTTTTGTTGGGAAGTTGTACATGGAAAGATTATTAATACACTTAATCTTCTTCAAAGAAAACGACCCAATTTGTATTTAACCCCTCATTGGTGTGTCTTATGTTGGGGGTGAGAGTTTATATCACTTATTTGTCTCGTGTTCTTTCACTACTTCGGTTTGGGAATGGTGCTTCTCTTTGTTTGGGTGCAGGCAAGGTTTTAAATTTCGCAATGTATTGGACTGTATCGGCCGATATGTATCATTTCGGAAGAGTTTCGATACACGGAACATGTATAATTAGATGGTTTCGCATTTTTTTGTCCATATCGGACTGTTTCAGGTATGCATCGGCTGATACGCATTATGTATCAGCCGAATTTAATTTCCCTCTCTTTTTTAAATTTAAATTTAATTCATCTCTTCACTCTCTCGTTAATATCAATTTTAATTAAGCCTTTAGGTTTGAGATGTCACTAAAAGCTAATATTATTTAATTAAATGCTCATTTGAGTTACCTTTAATTACGGCATTTAATATGTCATTAAATGTTATTTAAGTCAAATAACTTGTTAAAAATTACAAACCGAAGGTAACAAGTTTCAAACCCAAGTCATTTGCTTATATTAATAATTAATTAACCATTATGCCAACTTAATTGCTTATTAAACCAACATGTTTTTTATACTTAAAGTAATCTTTCTTGCCTTGGTAGATGTTTCCCAACAAATGCTAAAATTTGATTATTAATATTTATATAATAATAAGATGAATACAAATTATATTGATTTATTAAAAATTAAGGTATATATTAACTTGTATAAATAATAAATATTATCTAAATCTATATATAATAAAAATTAACAAATAAATGACTTCAAAAAATATTAACTAATAAATATTAGTATATATAGAGACACGTATATTTTAGTTCTGTTATTTTTTAACGGTTACTAATTATATCCTGATACTCTGTGTATCTTAATTTTTCGTCCGTATCTATGTGTTTCCAAAGCATATCTCGATACGTCTCTTAAAATTACCTTTCCGATACATCTTGCATTTCCGTACTTTGAACCTTGGGTGCAGGTGGATTCCTCCTGTGAGTGTACGAAGCATGTTTGATGTAACTGCATTTTCATGGCCAAAAAAGAAAGGGAGAACTATGAGGTGCATAAGAGCTGGCTACCCAGCAACTTATATATTGGGGAACTGGAGGGCAGTGGCGGATTCTTCCACTGTTAAGGCTGTCAAAATTCATCATTGGAGCCCACCGGACAAGGGCTTTATTAAATTAAATTTCGACGGTAGTAGCATAGGGAATCCAGGTCGCTCTGGCATTGGAGGTGTATTTAGAGATGAAAGGGGCAGAATTATTGCACTATATTCTGGGCCGGTAGGGGAATGAGACTCATTGAGGGCAGAAGTCATGGCTGTAATGCAAGGCATAAAAAGGGCGAAAACTATGCACATCAACAAACTAAGTGTGGAGGGAGACTCAAAATTGGTGATCAACTGGCTACGGGATGAGGGAGTGAAAATGTCGATACAATAATGAAAGGAAGAAATTCAGATGGTTAACTAGAGACATGGAAGTAAGGACAGGGTGGGTCAAGCGAAGTGCAAATGCCATAGCTGATTCATTAGCTAAGCAAGGGGTGGAGAGAGATTCATTGTGAGGGATTTGGGGTTTTGTGGGGAGAGATAAAAGTTTTATCTCTCATGAAATTAAACTGTTTTAACAGTCTGTACTTGCCACTTCCTTCTCAGAATAATAAAATTGATGTTATTGGTAAAAAAATGGATGAATAAGAACCTATGTCTTGCAAAACACTGTCAATGTTGGCTAATGAATTTCAACTTTTAATGTATTTACGCATTAAAGCCCATGGTTAGTATACAGTATACCCAGCAATACTTCACTTCACACTAATCCACTTATTCCAGCCACATGGTGAATCCTGTGGAAAATCCAGAATGTCCATCACATAATGGAACTTCTGGATTAGCCTCCTATCTAGTCTCACTATCCATATCAAATCTATTACCACCTAACATCATAGATTTGCTAACTATTGGGAAAAAAACATCATACATTAGCCTAACTGATAATATCATCCAAAGTTTAATATGTTATAATTTGAAAATTGTATATGGGCCTTATGGTGAGTATATTTTTTTTGAGTAACAGGAATATGTCATCAAAATAGAAACTCCACATTGCTCACCAAGGTCACAACAGGCCCAAGAGTACAGAGGTAGCTCCTATAAGCATGGAATCCAATACAAAGAATTTAACCTATTACAAATTACAACCTGGCCCAAGACACTGCTATTCCAGCTTTTCCCTTGCCATCCCTGCCCTTGCTAATGAATCTGCCTTATGGCGAGTAAATCAGCCTTCGATACTTTTCAATGGATAAATAATCATAGGTTTCATGATTTACTCTAATAGATGCATGATGCATCAGAGTCAATGTTACCTGGGTATGGCAGGGCAACTTGGAGCAATGTTGTCAAAATCTTACGATTCACAACTTGAATCATGAATCCCAAGGGTTTCAATTCAAATCTTATGTCTGAATCCTTTTCTACAAAAATCTTACGATCTTTGTTTGAATCCTATGATTTGATTCATAAATCTTACGATTTTATGATTCACTGTGATTCAAATAAATTCAATTAAGAATCAGTTCTCTACTTTGTTTTTTTCTTTTTAGTTTATGTTTAGTTTTGCCATGGGAGACTTTTTTTTAAAGCCCTTACTAGAAAATGACTTATTTACATTATCCAAGACTAGAAATTCAGTATATTTTCTATCATATGTTAAGTTAAAGGGCCATTGTATTTAGATTTGTTTGACTTTCAAGTCAAACTAAATTATATCATCTTAGGCTTCTATTGTATAAGTGGTAAATTATATTGTTTTAAGTACATATATAGTAGATATAGATCAAAATTTGAGTAAAATCACTTTCCTATCTATATTTAGCCATTTAGTATATCTATATTTAATTTTTTTGACAAGTTTGTATAAAATATAAATAATCTTACGATTTATGATTCAAGTCACAATTCGATTTGATTCGATTCAACTTTCTCTATGATTTACGATATGACTACAATTTTCAAAACATTGACATGGAGCACCACACCTTTCCATTTAGAAGTTTAAGTGTCAGATAGGGGTGTGCAAATCAATATTTGATATGTCTAAGTAACATGATTAAAACTGGAAGACTATACATGTCAGTATGCATTGCTCAAGTGTTTTTATAGCAAAATAAAAATTGCGTAGCTTGAGATATTCATGTTATTCAGTTATTATATACTGTAGTTGGTAGGTGAATGACATAAATTCTTCAAAATGCATGCAGCAAGAAATGATGTAAACCTACACGGAGACAACTACAAACATATATAGTTAATGCATATGCAATTTTCGACGTGCATGTGAATAACCATCATCTAAACATGAAGCAGGGAGAAAAGAGAATTTTTCATTTGGGGGGCGGGGCACACAATGCATGTCAAAAGGTTTTGAGATGCGGGAGTGTCTCCAAGGATGGGGGGCGCGCCTCAGGCACACAGGCGAGGTGCATTTCAGGGTATGCACCTCGCCTAGGAACTAGGCGCACGCCTGGTGTGCCATGCCATGCCCCTCAAGGCAAGCCCAAACAAGTCCACGTTAGGTCTTAAATTCTTAGTTTTCACACAAAAAATAATGATTTTATAGTTTTAATTGCTTTTTAAGAAGACATTTTATTAGGATGAATGAATGAACAACATTACCAA